CTTTATTAGATGAATGTTGATAGACCTCCATGATTGAGTAAGCAGATCTCAGGCAGTCATTGGAAGGAATAGTGGGGACAGAGATTGGAGTAGATGTAAATTGGTGAACTCTATTTTCATGGTGGGCAAGAAACCCCTCACCGTGCCTCCATCTTAGTCTTTTTCACACAATGACATATGCCACTGCAGTTTGCTCCACTGCTATGGTGGGGGTGCAGACAGACCTTTCTAAGAGGGAGTAGGAAACAATAGCTACCGAACCTCAGTTGTTAACTGTCTACAAATGGTGTACGTACTTCTCATCCACCCACTTAAGGCAAGACCTAAAGTTAGAGGGGTGGGAACCACTACAAATAACACAGTGATGGTCCAGTTTGCACTAATAGGCATCGTGGTCCTTGCCACCAAAACTATCACACGTCACAGAACCACGAGAAGAGTTCTTTGAATGACTGAACCGCTGGCATTGAAAACATCAGTGAGGGTTAGGAATATATGACCATACCTTACAATTCAAATAACCCACCTCAACAGTGGCAGATGGACATGGTAATGAAAACATTAGGAAATAATTATAAATTATGCCATTCTAGAATGACTACAGATTATAACATGAAAACACAATTGTTTAGTCATAAAAAGTACATTTGTATATATTTTTATTATTTTTCATTATATTGACCTTCCAGCCATGCCTGGCTAACAGTACAGAAGTTACAATGCACAAGCACATGCACTCATAATACCATATCCAATAATGGAAAATGACCTATCTTTGGAGTGTTTCAGTGGACTAGTATTTTGTAAAATACAGTCACATTTCAATTATTATACATTATATGTGTATATACATGAATACTTTGTAAGAAAACATTTTTAAACATTATTTTCTTAAAACATAGAACAATAAATAAAGAAGTAGAGCAAATAATTATCTCTTCTAGTTATGCCTTTGTACTAGTTTGCTGCTTGTCGTAGGTTGCTAAGCCTTATCAAATTTCCCACATGGAGGATGTGAAAAGTAAATGATTTTTTTAAGTTTTATATAAATATTTTAAATAACCAAAAAATAAAAAAGTACTATATTGATATTATAGAATTCCACTATAATTTATCATGTGTAGTAACTAAGCAGTATTTGGATCCGAAAATATGAAATTTCGAGCTCACTGAAGACTTATCGTTTGAAATATTGTGTGAAAAGAAGGATCTTACCACAATAACACATCAAAATGGCTGACAAAACCACTAGGGTACATTCTGAGCTTGTGATTCATTATTCATGTCATGTATTGAAGTAAGTGTACATAAAGGAGCATTTCCAAAAATGGAAAGAGGTGTTTGATTCAATATGAATGATATCTTAGCATGTAGAAAAGAAAAGAGGTTCTTATTTTATATTATAGCTTTTCAATATTGGTAATTTGAATTTCTAATCATAAACATATAATTCAAACCAGTGCTGCATTCAACATACCACATGACACACACAAAAAAAATCAATGTTTAGCTGTGTTTTTAATATTTACTTTTAAATTAAGAAATTAACTAACTTATAATACTAAAATTTGAATTATAATCTAAAATTTCATACCAAACTTATTGACATAAATCCATAAAATAGTAGTTCAATAAAATTTTGAATGCAAGTCAACAAACAAGACAGGTCTTTGACACACATCAGGTTGCGATAGGATTATGTAGATGTTTAGGTAGACAAGCATAATGGAAGCTTTAAAATTTAGAAAACCAGATAAATTATTATAGCTACAGAACATTGTTTGCTTTGTGTGTATTATTATTCTGTACTCTTAGGGGCATTATCTAATTGAATAAATATTTAATGTATTTGTACT